AAGTTATCATATACTTCAGGAAGCTTATGGTGAACATGCTCCATCTCAAGATACTTGTGAACACTGGTTTAAATGCTTTAAAAGTGATGATTTCAATGTGAAAGACAAAGAACATCCAGGTCAACCGAAAAAGTTTGAAGACCAACAATTTCAAACAATTTCTGATAATTTACAAGCAATGGGAAAGATTTTAAAGGAAGGAAAATGGGTGCCACATCAACTGAACAAAAGACAAATGGAAAACCGAAAAGTCATCATTAAAATGTTGTTTCAACAGCAGTAAAGAAAGTCTTTTTTGCATTGAATTATGACTGGTGATGAAAAGTGGATTTATTTTGAGAATCCCAAACGCACAAAATCATGGGTTGATCCAGGTCAACCATCAACATTGACTACAAGGCCAAATCGCTTCAGAAAGAAGACAATGCTCTGCATTTGGTGGGATCAGGAAGGTGTGGTGTATTATGAGCTTCTAAAAGTGAAACCATTAATACTGATGCTACTGACAACAAATAATCAATTTGAACCAAGCTTTGATTGTGAAACGACCAGAATGGGCCAGAAGACACGGCAAAGTAATTTTGCTTCATAATAATGCACCATCACACACTTCAAAACCAGTTAAAAACACATTAAAAGATCTTGCCTGGGAAATATGAACCCACCCACCATATTCACCAGACCTTGCTCCTTCAGATGACCACTTGTTTCGATCGATGTCACACACACTTTCTGAGCAGCACTTCAAAACGTACGAAGAATTGGAACATAGAGTCTTGGAATGGTTTGCCTCAAAACAAGAAAAGTTCTATTGGGACGGTATCCACAAATTACCTGAAAGATGGGGGAAATGTGTAGCTAGTGATGGACATACTTTGAATAAAATATTTTGATGTTTCTCTTGAAATTAACGTGTTGTCTTTAATTACAAAATCCGCGTTATTAACCGGTACACATAGTAATTATTGATTTGAGAGAGAGAGAGAGAGATAAACATTGATTTGTTGTTCCACTTGCTCATTTATGCATTCATTGGTTGATTCTTGTAAGTACCCTGACTGGGGATTGAACCCACAACCTTGTCATATCAGGACAATGCTCTAACCAACTGAACTACTCAGACAGGGCTGTTTATTATTCTTATACTGTTCTTTCTGATCGAGTTAGATAGTTTTGTAGAGTTCTTTTATTTTTTAATTTATGCTCAAGTCTCTCCCTTCTTCCTTTTGCATCATTTCTAGAGTTCTCTCTTTGATATCATCAGTCCTTTCTTCTATCTGATCTGTTCTATTTCCTAATCTGATTAGCTCATTTTTTATCTCTTTTATTTAGTTCTTCATCTCCAGAATTTCTTTTTGTTTCCTTTTTAAAGTTTCAGTCTCTTTGGAAAAGTACTCGTTTTGTTTGTTGATTTTTAATCTGAGCTCATTAAATTGCCTGTCTGTATTTTCTAGTACTTCATTGAGTTTTTTAAAGAATTACAATCTTGAATTCTCAGTTATTTATATCACATACTTATATGTCTTTACATTTTTTGTGTTTTGTTTTGTTTTTCCTGGAGATTTTTCATTTTCTTTCTGAGCTGCCTCACTACCTGGATTATTCATGGTATTTGATGAATTCCTTTTCTGTCTGGGCATCTATGTATAAGTGGAATTTCTCTAGCAGATTAAAACCAAGAGATCTATTTTTTTTTCAGTAGGTGGTGCTGAATCACAATTTTTTAGCTCCCTTGTACTTCTCTAGCTATACAGATCTCTTTGGGGAGTTAGTTCCTTGGGTAGATGGTTTCCTTGTATGTGCTCTTAGGTCACACCCATCCCAGGGAACCAACCCCACAAGAAAATGTAGTCAGTGATGATTCTCTAATCTGCAAAATTCCATTGCTGCCCTGCACAGACAGATGCTGCCATCAATGTAGCAATGATGCATGGATGTGGAGCTGAGGTATCCTGGCTGGCTTCTTTGTTGTTGGCAACCTCAGATCTCTATGGGGTCCACCCTGCACACCGGCTACAGGACCAGTCACAGCATGCACCCTTTGCTTAGGGAAAAATATGATGCTCTAGTATCAGTTCTCAGGTTTGCAGATAATGTTTTCTACAACCCAACACCAAGAGCAAAGGGAGTTGAGCTCTGGGTGGTTACAGGGTAGCCAGGTTCCATGGCTTTGTTTCTCTGTTTGAAATGCAGACCACGGTTGCAAGGCTCTGTGTGCTTGCCCAGGTTTCTGGGCTCAGTCACAACTTGTACAGCCCACTCCTGCAGAAATGTCCACTGAATCTCTTTACTCCTCCCAGCTGAAGAGAGTGCCAGCCACAATCTAATTCCTCCCCTCCCCAGGCTGAGCCCCACTGTAAGCTCCCAGCTGCAGAGCTGCATCTCTGGCTCATCTCAGATTTTCTCTCTTCTTGCCTCTCCAGTTCACTCCCACTTTGCCCAACTTTAGATGTTTCAATGAGCAGATCTTTTAGGTATGTTTGTGTGTTGATCAGAGAATGCTTTGTTGAGTTATAGCTATTAAAATTGGTGAAATTTCAAGGGTGAGACCAAGGGCACCTCTGATGCCACCATTCCTTTGATGGCACTTCAGGTACTTTTTTTAATTATCACATATGTAATTGCATTTAATAGTTACAACCCTATAATGGAGTTACTGTCTTACAAGTGAGGAAGCTGAAACCCAGAGAGGTAAGAATACCATGCTCAAAGTCATCCAGTTACAATAAATTTTATTTTTAACTTCAATTCATGTCTCTTTAATCAAAGCTCTTCTCATCCTTTTTAATGTCTATGCTATTTTACTGAGGAAGATACTGTGGATTAGATTATCAAAGTTTTTAAGTATATATACTAGAGGCCCAGTGCACAAAATTTGTGCACTGCTAGGATCCCTAGTGGCTGCCGGATACTCCCTCCCTTCCCCCAGCCTCCTGTTGCTGCTGGCCAGGGCCTCCCTCCCTCCTTCCCTCAGCTGCCTGCCAGTGCCACTGGCCAGGGCCTCCGTCCCTTCTCCTGGCTGGCCAACCCCCTGGCCAAACTCCCAGAAGAACTCCGGCTGAGGGGTCAATTTGCATACTACACTTTTATTATATAGGGTGTATATATGTGATAAACATGTTATATATAAGGCATAAAGTAGATTCAGTGAAAGCACAGGATAAATAATAATTCATAGATCTACTTGGAGGAGTCAGAGAAGGCCAGAAGATGTTTCTTTGTAACATGCATGGAGAAAGTAGAGCATATGGAATAAACGGCATGAAAATATCATAAAACACGTGAGAACACACATGCTTGGCAACTATAAGTTTTGTGGTTTTCCTAGAGTGTAAGTTTTTAGGAAAGAAGTAGAAAATGATGGACAAAAAAGTAATGGGCAAGTTATTGAAGAGATTTGTATGCCATACCAAGAATCTCAGATTTATCCTACAGGACATGCAAATCTACTGAATAGTTTTGAACAGATAAATCATTAAGATTTCACTTCAGCGAAAATAATTCTTAAACAATGATAAAAATGGTAATTAATGGTATAAAGTAATAATAATGAAGTGATTTGTTACATCACTTTTTTTTTTTTTTTACACAAGGACAATTTTAATCCTGCATTTTCCTGCAGTCACATCCACTGCTGGCTATATATGGATTGAAACTGCATTTTCCAAGAACTCTGAACATTAAGAATCTTTACATGAAGTCACATGTATTGATATAGGCATACAGACATCTTCCAGCACCAACAGCATACATAACACATACCACATGGTCTCGAGGGATAAATTTGCTTCATCAGATAATAATATTTAGTAAAATTCACAGTTAATGCAGAATTTCCTTTTTTTAAATTTACATCTTTACTACACATTCTAAGATTTTAATTATTTATAAAAACATTCAAGATTGTAATTTGCATGGCAATAAACAATAGGTTCTAAATTTATTAAAGGAATCTATAGCAATTAAAATACCACCAGTCTTCCACTTGTAGCACCTGGCTTAAGACCTTTATAAAAACAAAAGTTTAAATTTGTTTAGTACATTCATTATAATGGTCAGTTTCTCTTGTGAGAAAAACATGTTTCAGTTGCTATTTCCCAGACAATATATTGAACACGGGTTTATAATATCTGCAACTGGTTAGCAGGATTTTACACTCAGATAGCCAGAACAAGAACTCCCAGCCTCTGTAAATGGCCTTCCTCTCAGAACGATGACAATGTATAAAATGGATTTGGGGTCTGCCCCCTACTTAACATTATTAAACATGTTTTCAAGTATTCTTGGAAAATATTTTAAAATTTAGGTGTAATAGTCTACTATATGATGCACCATAATTTCTTTAACCATCTCCCAATTGTTCATTTATATCATTTGCAATTTTTTTGATAGTAGGAGTAACATCTTAATGAACCTAAGACATACCTTTAGGATAATGTCAAAGAAGTGGTTTACTAGGTCAAACAGTGCAGATGGTTTTAAGGCTTGTCATATACTTGATGAATAATATTCAGAGTAGCTTGAACAACTCCAACCAGCAGTATGTTTATGGGCCCACAAAGTGGACTTGGTTAGTAACAATGAAGCCCATTCAACCACAAATCCATCAGATGCTCAGGCATCTTAGAACGATCACGCTGAAGAAGCAAGGAGATAATTATGCCTGGGGAAGAAGCCCAATTACAATTCTTTAAAACGTCACTCAGCTTTAAACCAGATTAAATCACGACACAAAATAAACTTCCCACAAAAAGTCTACAGTGTTTTTCCAAAAATAAAAAGTTTAAAAGACAGAAAGAGAAGTCAGGACGAAGTGACCAAAATTTTTTATTTGACTAAATTCTATTTCATGCATAAGCATGATAGTCACCCCTGTTTATCAGACTTTGGCAATAAAAACAACAACAACAACAAAACACACAAGCAGCCTTGTACAGAACAGTGAAAATGCTGAGGGTAGTCCACAGTTTTACTGTAGGATAAATATTTTTATTTTTTTCAAATGGCCTCTCTCCCCCTTTGGCCATATCAACTCTCAGTTCAGACCATTAAATACAGACAAATTTTCAAAATCACTTCTTCACTTCTCCAAGATCTGCAATGCTATCATCATCCACCTCTGGCCATTTTTCCTGAATGGCATCAACGATGTCGTCTGTAAAGTCTCCCTGAATGATGATCTCATCCTCCCCTGTCACTGAGGCACCACAGGAGAATTTTTGAGCAAAAAAATTTTGTGCTTCTTTAAGATTAATATCAAAACTTGCAAGGCCCCCCACTCTTGTTACGTATTTCTTCTTTGCTCTGGGAATTTTGGCTATCGTAACCTTTTGTGGTACGGTCTTCTTTTTTTTGTTTTATTTGACCCCTTCCACCTCTCTTTTGTTTTTTCTTCTCTTCCTCTTCTCCTGCTGGTCCTTGACCCTCACTAATTCCAGCTTCTTGTTTGGGTGAATTTTCTACTGTAAGTTTTGCAAACTCACTTGGAAAATTCTTCTCTAACCACTGTCTACATTTAGGAAAATCAGGCATATAACCACAGTACTCTGTTGGTAATGAACACACTCCACAGTAAAGAACCCGGAGTGGGTAATCTGCATCTAACTTGGTATTGCTCCTGGAGTCTCCTTTGCAATCATGCCCCACGGATTCAGTAATGTTAGCAGTCATCTCACAAACCCAGTGGTTGTACAGAAGCCCACGCCTACGCCCCGCCACTACCTCCAGCTGAAACGACACATGCAACTCCTCTTCTCTGGCCTGGGCCCCCCGAGAGCCCATCTCTGTTACATCACTTTTTAATATTTAGGGTAATATATAGAATAAACAGCTGAGAGTGTTGCTGAGAGTTTGTAGGCATTCTGGCCCTAAGGAATGGTAAGCATGACATGATTTCTTATACCAGAAAGCAAGACCTTTTCAGTAGTTTTATTACTTGGCCAATTATGTGTGCACCCTTTCCCCCCATAAATTAGGAAATTTGGTTGTTACTCTTATAGGTCAGGTTCATTTTAAAAAATCATTTTGTACTTACCTTCATGAGCATGGATGATTTTTAGGCCATTATTTTCTTAATATTGCCTAGGTTGTTTGGTACCTTGGGTCCTAGAGAGTACATTTTATTGGGTACAATAACTAATAGTGCCAGACTCTACTAACATACAAATGCACATTTCCATTAGCAAGTGTCTACAGGGCAATTTTCAAGCAATGTCTTACAACACCAATTCCAATTACTCAACCACATGATACTTACAAAATTTTATCTGATGAAGCCATCTAACTAAGCATTCAAAGACCATCTATACTAATAAAAAGGTAATATGCTAATTAGAATGGACGTCTTTCGGACGTCCTTCCAGATGTCCTTCCGGACATCTTTCCAGACAAAGCCACAGTGGCTGCCTGAGGCTCAGGCGTCTTTCAGACGTCCTTCCAGATGTCCTTCGGGACATCTTTCCGGACAAAGCCACAGTGGCTGCCTGAGGCTCAGGCAAGCCACACATGGCGGCTGCTGCTGCCAGGGCTGGCCTGAGGCTCAGGCAAGCCACAGTGGCTGTGAGGGCCAAGACTCAGGCAGCCGTGGCAGCCAGCAGTGGCTGCAGCAGAGGCATGATGGGGGCCTCGCCTTCCCCTGATCGGCCAGTAGCCTCCCGCAGAGGGAGGCCAGACTGTTGCTTAGGCCTGCGGGCCTAAGCCATCAGTAGGACATCCCCTGAGGGCCCCCAGACTGTGAGAAGGGGCAGGCCGGGCTGAGGGACCGCCCCCCCCCCAGTGCATGTATTTTCATGCACTGGGCCTCTAGTATAAATATAAACATAGATGATGCTAGAATCTTTTTTTCTGTTTTTATATCTGTTTTTATAAAAATAAATAAATATTTTTAAAGGTTTTAATTTCAACTTGATATAAAAATGGACTAACTTGATTTTTTTAATTAAGTAAATTTAGTTACAATTTTGTATAAACCAAGAGGAAAGGAGAAGACTTTAGATAGTCATGTCTATAGCAGATACTCATCCTTTCTCTTTTTTGTATTTTGTGATCATGTGGCCAATGGAATAAAATTACTTACTGATGCAATCTTTTTTTACTAAGTAAATTTCAGGGAAAACCGGTCTGCTCCCACTAATATGATTTCCAGTATCTGGCACTTGTGACATATGAGAGGAATAATCCTTGGTTTCTTGCTTTGAGTTTAGCCTGCATTCAAACAGGAGAGGCTGATGGCTCATCATTCTTTCTAACCACATGATGTTGCTTTTGTGGTAGGATAAGATAGGTAAGATCTCCAGCTCAGTAATTTTTTATGACCCAATAAAGGTACTAACTTAGGAATCTCTGCCGTCAAGTATTAACAAGCCATATTCTTTAAACATGTTTCATAGTAACAGTGCCGTTTTTGTCTCTTCTTTACTTTTTCCCTTTTTGTATCACAGTGGAGCTCCTTCACTTTCCATGCAGTGTATCTTTCTAGGTCACACCCTTGCTGCCTCAAGAATTTTAACAAGAGTTATAAATCTACAGTGTCCACATACTTGGAAATAGCTTCCTGACCTTATTCTTCATCATTTTCACATGAGTATTTGCTATGACTTTGAGTAATGGTGTGTGTTAAGAAAGCATATTATATAAATAGGTCGTGCCCCTTGTACACAATGAGGCCATGAGCTTCCTGGCTCTGTAAGCTGTTCTCCTGCTTGGTTTTCTAGCAGCAGAGCTGTCATTGGGAAGCTCCTACCTCCTTTTCTCAAATTAAGCTGTTTTTCACGCTAATTATTCTTTTCTTTATGAAGAAACTATGATGTAGCAAAAAGAGCATGAATTTTGATTCACACCATATCTATTCTACAATATCTGCCCATGTTAATATTCTCCTGTGGATAGCATTATTCCTCCTCTCACTCCATACCATGCTTTTGTGGACTATTTTGAATTTGAACCTAATAATCAGGGGCTCTGTTTAATTCACTAGACTCTCATTAATGTTTCATATAAAACAGTTGGACTTTATTGTATTTTGCATATTAAATAATTTCATCATTTTAATAGTTTATTTCAGATATGACATATGCAGAGTTACTTCACTGAGGAGTGTTTTTTGACCCCAAACCTACACTTACAGCACAGAGGCAGAGCGGGTTTCCTTGGCTCCATGGCTCTGCAACACTTTTCAGCCTTTCTAGCCAAACTAATTAGAATTATTCATTTAAAAAGTTCTGAGGGCCAAACTATTTTCATGAGAGCCTCTAACTGATACTTCCTGTGCAGACAGGGAAAATTTTATTGTCCATTGTTTCCTCTTTAAATTTTAATGTGAACTTATATGACTGACCTAGGTAGCTTTGAATACTAGAAAAATGGTGTATAATCACATGAATCTCAAAAATATCATATTTATTTGAAAATGTTGGTTGATTAGCTTTTAATAAACTTACTTTCTACTATCACATAAGAAATCAAGCTTTTGCTAAGCTGTTATTTATAAATGCCTTTATCACAATATGTAGACATACAAACATTAACAATTTTGGTGGCTATTGTTTAAAATGTCTTCTTGCATAGAAGGCACATAAAGCTTCATAAATGCATAAGTTCATAGGTGGCTAACATCTATCATATATGACTATAGAAGATAAGATAGTGAACTGTCAATTATTCAGGGATTGATCAATCAATTGGTAATATTAACCAAGTTCTTGATTTTTTTTTCTCTTTCCTTCCTACATGTTTTCTGATCAGATCAAAACTCACTAGCAATTCAACCAGAATAATAAAAAGAAACTAAAGAAAATCCAAACTAAACTACATTTTATTAGCTAATTGTTTTTTAATTTAAAATTTGTGGAGAAAATTATTTAAAACATTGGCTTTTATTTGGTTTGATACACTTTGTATATCACAGTTCTTCCTCTTCATTGTTTCTGTCATCAAAAATATATTTAAACCAGATAAAGGACACAGATGATAATATAAATTTATAAATGTGGTGACTTCATGGTTTTTGTTTAATTTTGTTTTACTGATTCTTAAGTTTGTGTTTGCACAGGAGAAACATTTGGCGTGTGCTGAGAGGCAGTTTCTAAGTGTGCACATATGTGTAGTTTGCTTAATGTCAAATAAGTTCAAACATTGGTGATTTTGGATTCACTAGATTTTTTCATGTAGAAGTAATAATAGACATTTTGGTGAGATAAAAACATAACTGAAGGTCCTAGCAATTAACCAAGGTATAAGGAACTTAAAATTGTTTCCATTTGTAAAACCATCATTTTCACAAATAATATTGTTTTAAAGCAATGAGAATCCAACTCTGGTTTAAAAAGACATACATTTTAATCTAATGAAATAATGATAACTCCTCAAAACCATACCATTTAATTTCTTGGAAACTTGAAAACTTAAATAGATGACCACTCTCCTCACCCGGTGGGCATTTTTAACATGCCCCAAAGCAAGGTTCTCAGCTCAGGAGAGGAAATAATAAAAGTCTCTCTCTGGAGGACCCTTATGTATGCTATACCCAATTAGGCCTGCGCTGGCTCCATGAAGTTGTCACCAGCCAAGAACTGGCCTGGAGAGGGTCTGCCTCCTTCAGGCCTACAGTGTTTGGGTTCTTGACTTCATGTAGGAAAGATTTCACAATATGAGTCTAGGTGATTTTGAGAGTATGTTTATTAAAATGAAACAACGGGAAGATTTAGGTAGAAGAAGCAACAGGAGAGAGCCAAGGTGGTGCACTGCTTTGGCTCCCTAGACATGTTACAGAGCAGAAGTGAGTCCAGGAGAAGCTCTGTTAGCTCACTGGAGAGTCAGAGCAAAAGGGGGCCTTGGAGACAGGTCAATGGGTAAGCCTGGGATGAGCTCCTGCTGCCTGCTGCTTCCCTGGTTACAGTTTCATATGAGGGGACCCATAGAGTTTAGGAGGAAGTAAAACGTTCATGCCCAAGAAGAGGCATGGGCATGCTCTAGAACTAGCCTGAGCTGGTATCTTCTGTCATGAGGGTGTATTTCCCTTCTGTAGATGAGAATCTTAGAGGAAGTTTTCAGCAGAACATTCAGCAGCTTTGCAGGTGTGTTTTTAATAGCTGATGAAGTAAAATGAGCATATAGGGGTGTTTGGGATTATTCTTTGGTCTGCTTTACTGTTTTACTTTTATCTTGGGTCTGTCTGGCTCTAATTGGGTTTTTGGTATTTGTTCCCTGAATTCATTTGTCCTTGGGTTTGGCTGGCACAAATGGTATTAAGTGGGTTTCTGTTCTCTATCTCCCCAGCTAGGGTGATTTCAGATCTGTATTCTCTGGTTAGAGTAGGGAGATATCAAGCGTTTGCTCTCAAGTGTCCTTGGTTAGGGGGGATAGGTCTTGTGATTCACTAGCTGCCTGTAACTTGTTTAAATTGTGTGGCCTTTTTTAAATCTCTGTGTCAGTTTCCCCATTCCACTTGCCCAGGAATTTTCCTAGCTTCTCACTATCCTACCTTATAGTCATCCTAAGTAAGTATGGGTGAGAATAGTTTGTAATTTCCAACCAGAGAATCCACCTTAGATTGAAACTTGAATAATCAATGCTTGGCAGTAGTAACTGATTTTGCTATAGGAGACATGATCAAATGCCTGTAAAGCCTGAGGACAAAAACATTGAATTGTCCAAAAATGTTATAGAGAGAAAGATGCATCCAAATGTAATTAACTTAAACATCTCATGACACTCTATTTGTTGAGGAACTGTTTATCATTATTATTTACCCAGTTATTTTCAATACTATCTACTATAT